CATCAATGGGTTATTGCTATCAAAGCTCATTATGGCTCGTCACTGACACCGATATATATACTATTCTGAGCAACTTCTTAGCTTTTTATATGCCCCAGAGGACCATGATCAGCATCAACTGGTCAACTCTTTCACATATGTTCTCTACATTTTAGTACTTTCATAATTGGTGCGCACCCTAAAAATAATAAAGCGTATGCTTGTATTTTTCAGTAAAATTTACAATAAATCATACTTCTCCTTCATTAATGGAAAAATTACTTATTTAATCTCAGTAAATTGAGTAAGCTAACTAAATTACTTAATTTCAATAAATTATACTACCTCTGGTCCTAATTATAAGAGCCAATTGACTAATTTGAGGAGATTTAGAAAGTAAGTTGAGTTAGTTATTTGTCCTAAATAGGTGTTGTCTTTCCTAAAATATCATTACTAATCAAGTGTATTGACTAGAACTATCATTGTTAGAATAGCTACTTTAGAAAAAAAATGTATAAATATGAGAGACAAAATGGATTGGGGTCTTATATTTAGGATCAAAATAAAAGTCAAACATGATATTATATTAATGACCGGAGGTAGTATAATATTAAATTATATGGTTGTTAATAAGTTAGATAAATTAATTTGAAAAAGATAATAAATATGAAAAAAATAAAAATGAATTAAAGTCATATATTCAACACCAACATTAATTTCCTAACAAACTTCTACGTTTAGGATGAAATGATTATTATTTAAAAAGCATGAATAAGAGTGCATCTTATTTTTCTTAGACAACATTAAAAGAGAGTTTCTAATATTAAAGAATGTTAAGTCTGACAAAAAGGTTAATTCTTCACAATGTGATAAACCAAGATTTTAAATTTCTAAGTGATCATATTTTGTATCCGATAATACTTTGAACAGGATTTTTAACATTGGATAATCAATTTATGTGCCAACAGATACTAGTCTTATAGCGGAAGAAGTTTTGGCGCCTTAATAAGTTTCAGCCTGTACAAATGTGAAAAAATGTTTTCAACTGAATTATCTTAATTGGAGTTAACAATATTCGCATATGACCCAACCTGATATTTATTACTCATGAAGGAGTAGCATTGATAATTAGAGATAAGAGCACTAAAAGTCTACTTGAGGCATGAGTAAATATAGTTGAACTTCTCTTCGTATTTTTACCCTCAAATATTTAAAAATAATATTTATATAATAAAATTATAAACTTGGATAAAAATGTTTTTTAAAAAAATGTCCTAACTGATATTCCCTCCCATCCTTATACAAGACCCATTTTATTGTTTGCTATGGGGCCGATAAGTCTCCGTTGCCACGAGCTTGACAAAAATGCCGACACTGTTTCGTGGCGAATGGGGATTCGTTATTTGATTTTTTAAAAAAAATCTCACGAATTTATGGGGCGCATCAACTTCGTTAAGAAGCACATTAAATTACTTGATTAATTTAATTAGATTGTTAATTCAATTAAATAACTGCTCCTGAGGTGAGTGTGTCACTAATAAGTTGTTTGCAATAAAAATATTTAAAAATAAAAAATTCATTTGAGAAAAATACGTTTTTCCCAGCCATCATCAAATCAAGCACCAGCTCCTCCTCATTGCCATGCAATGAAAGGGCCATTATTTTTTTTTTAAAAAAAAAAACAGAGGTGAAGATATATCCAGCATTCTAAAATATTTTTTTCTATGCGTTTGACATTCCAAATTATTTTTAGCATAATTTTATACTTGACAATTTAAGATACTGGACGACGACAAAAATAATTTAGGAAACTAGATGAATCTGAAATTTTTTTTAAAATATTAGATGCATCAAAATATAATTTAAGATGCTAGATGTATATTAAAAATGTTTTAAGGTGCTAAATATATCACAAAATATATTTTAAAATATTGTATACACCTAAAAAATACTTTAAATGTAGTTTAACTGATCATGAATTTTTTTTCTTTCGTCATTCTTCAATCAATAGAAGCAATTCATGCGTCGAACATACTTAAAAAAAAAATCGAGCACACAACTTCGTACACAAGACTTAATATGATACCAACGGGGGTTGGTCCAAGTGGTAAGTGACTTGGTATCGCTTAAGCAATGTCTCGAGTTCGAGCCTTAGCATATGCAGAAATCCCCGTTGGGAGACTCACCCACCACAGCCAGGTGCGCGATGCGGGTCGGATCCAGATGTAGTCGGAGCAAAGCTCCGGTGAACTGGGTGGGCAACCAAAAAAAAAAAAGACTTAATATGGTGCTCAGTGTCAAATGGTTACACGAATCAACTCTCATGGGTCATTGACAATTCAATATATTATATAACATTTATAGTGAGTTATAATATAATAATCACAAATTATGAGTTTGGCAGTTCGTTAATTAGATTTGTTTAATAAATGAAAAAATACGTCTAATTATAAACTAGTCATGGCTTTATTTTTGATTGGCATGCATTGTTTTGTCGGTTTCAAGCAAACTTTCTGCACACCTGTGTGATGGCTAAGTTTTATTATATCCCAGGCGAAAGATGCAAAGTCAATTGCTTTTGCTTGCTAAACTCAGCAAAACGTTGAAGTTTGTTGCATAAACTTAATTACACCAATAATGGAACCATATAACTTAAATTTTTTTTGGTCAAAAGGGACGATATAATTTAATTAATTACTCTTTTCAATCCTTAATATGAGAACCGTTTTTCAAAAAAAGCTTCTAAGTCAAAATAAAAAAGGACTCTCCCATTTATCTCAAGTATTTATTGTTTTCTCTTCTTATAACATACCTTGTTTTTTGCTCCAAAAAAAAAAAATCCCTTGCTACATGTGCTTTATCCATTTCCTACACACTAACATGAACGCTGGTAGGTTAATGCACTTGTTTGAATATCACTTGCACAAAATGACGTTAGGAAAAACTCAGTTTAAAATTTTTTAATTCTGCAAAAACAACCCTCTACTTGCATTATGAAAGCTATAGTTTGAGGAGCACCAAGCGATTTATTAGTACAAGTTTAGCCAAACACGGATTCAATCAAAACTAAGTTTGTAAAACCAGGTTTTAACCTTTAAATTAGTATCCAAACAGAACTTAGAATAATTCTCAACAAATACCTGCATGAAAAAGAAGACATTTAAGATATCTTAAATGATTATTATGACCTTCGGTCCTTAATATAAGAATTAGTTGACTAATTTGGAGAGATTAAAAAGACAAGATAAGTTAGTTATTTGTTATAAATAGGTGTTGTCTTTTCTAAAATGCCATTGCTAATCATGTAGTATACTACCTCTGGTCTTAATTATGAGAACTAGTTGACTAATTTGAGGAGATTAAGAAAAGAAGTTAAGTTAGTTATTTGTAATAAATATGTGTTGTCTCTCTTAAAATATTCTTGCTAATCAAGTGTATTAGTTAGAACTACCATTGTTAGAAGGACTATCTTGAAACAAATGCATAAATATTAGAGACAAAGTGAATTGGAGTCTTATATTTAAGTCAAAATAAAAGTCAAATGAGGTCTTATATTAAAAATTGGAGGTAGTATTAATAGAATTACCATTTGATGAAATCTTTAACATATACAATTACCATAAAGATTATTTTTTTAAAAAATAAATAAATATAAAAGACAAAGTAGATTGGGATCTTATATTTATAACCAAACTGAAAGTCAAACAAGCTCCTGTAATAAGGAATGAAGGTAGTATTAATAATAAGGATTAACTCATAAGCTTTTATCGATGTGCGTTGGTAACCCTAAAATCTAATTAGGATGACATAATATTATTGCCCCTCAAGTTTTTTTCTTGACTGAAGCCCCCTCAAGTATTAGAAATAATGCAATCTTTTTCCTTTCATTAACAGGTCATCAGTGGCTAGCAGGGGAAGAAAATCATGACATTTAATTGAGGGTAAAATTTAAAAATGAAAAGAAACTATGATATTTTAGACATCAACAAATCTAACATGTTTTTCTTAGTACATGTGAATAAGAAAATTGGCTCCTGTAATTAGGGATGGAGGGATTATATAGATAAGAAACAAATAGTTAAACAACTTAGTGATTAAATTAAAGAGTTCTAAAATTTACTCATTTTATTATAGTCTTCACCCTCTCCAATTTACCAAAGTTAAAATACAACAACACGGAATATGTAGTGGGAGTTAAAGTCAACTCTTTTAAAAAAACGTGTAAAATCGAAAGTCAATTAACAAAACATCGCATAATGATCAGAATTTTATTCATAAATTTGAAAGTCAATTATCCATATAACACAAATTTGAAAGCAAATGAATTAGTCATAAATATTATTTTATTTATTATCCTCAAATTTTAAAATTTAAAGGATGAGAATTTTATTTTATTTTTTGTAATATTACATTTATCCAACTCGTCCAAACCTTTTTTATAAATAAGACAATATTACATTTTTTAGGGCAAAAATGATGAAACTCATTAGAATTGAATGTATATATAACATGAACATTAGAATAATAATTGAATTAAAAGATGAAAATTTTTATGATAAATATTTTTAGAAACAAGAATTTTATCAGTAGATAATTTGATCTGAAAAACTTCCAAGTGATTAAAGTAATTAAGATAAGACTAAAACTTGTTTTACTTAAAAAGGAAAGGAATAAAGAATCTCTCTCGCGTGGCATGTGTAGGGCAGAACGATGATTCTCCCATGTCGGAGCCTCGGATAAAATCAGAACATGGAAGCAATGGGAGAGAATCACGAGGAGAAGATTCACCAATAGCAAAAATTCCTTTTTCCACGCGATCACGTACTGCAACTTCATGATCAACTTCTTTCACTATTTGTGGGTCCCGAAATCCACTTCCACTCCAACTCTTTTATGAAATCTGTTTAATAAAATTTTGGAATCCGGAAAGATGAATAATCCAACGGAGGGGGGCCCTGGGCACTGATGATTGGCGGGCCGGTTAGCAATACATTATATAAATGGTGCCCTGTTTTCATTGAGGTTGAAGATTATTGGGGAGCTGGGCCTGAAGACTTTTTCTGTGGAAGAGACCATGCTTTTCACTTTTTTCTCCAGTTTCTTTGAATTTTGGTGTTTTTGATAATTCCTTATCCGAGGAGGAAGATTCACTTAGATACTGCTCTAATGGTGTCCAACTATTTTGCGATAGGACAAGTTTCTTGATTCCATCTTCCATGGCATAGGCAAGCGGTTTGGCCATTCATTGTCTTGTTTGGTCGCTGAGAAAATGGAGCAGAAACAGATATTGTTTTCTCGGTTGTTATCTCGCACTCTGATGGCTAGAGTAAGCTGAATTAGCTTGTGTGTATCGTTCTGTGTGAATATGTATAAGTATGCCCCACTTTGTTTCTTCACCCGGCTTTTGGCTCCTTTTTCATTATTGTCTACCACTGCAAGTTTTAATTTTGATTCAACTATCGAATAATTTTCCCTCCTTAGATTGCAAGTTATCTTTTCACCATCTGTCAAAGGCTGAAATTAATGGAATGAAAACAATTTATTGAGCACTCAAGTGACCCAATAAATCTGAGGCAAATAATTAATATCGAGGTTATTTTCCATACTGAAAGATTATTCTTATATTTCATAATAATTGTAATGTAGTGATATAAATGACCCTCTACTTCTTTGATCCATGCAGGATCCTTGGTGACTGAATTTTCCCAGGAGATTTCTGAGAGTATTGCTTGGAATTTCGTTGGAATTTCCAAGACGGCTATTTACGTTTATTTTCTCATAATTCTTCGTTGGGGCCAAGCTATGATGGTACTGTTGATCCTGTGTACAACAGAGCCACCAATCAAAAGAAGAGCGGGTTTATGGATTAAACAAGCAGGTCGAGGTTCATACCGGGGTAGCTAGGGGTCGATCCTGAAGTTGTTATTAGTTCTGATTCTGATTCTGGTTCACTAAGCAAAGTTCCCAAAAATTGAATGGAAGCCACTTCTGTAACACATTTGTTGAAAAGTTTTTGTGATTATACTCATTGGAATTATGCTGTGTTTTGGAAGCTTAATCACCATCTTCCAATGTGAGTTCCTGGACTTCAGAGTTGCTTCCTCTACATTTTATCCTGTGTTTTGATAAAATCAGTGAGGCTTGTTGCCTCTGTTACATAATAGTTTATGTAATTTTCCATCATAATGACAAGTGTCTAGTTTAGTTGTAGTTTTCTGAGTTTTTAGCTGGGTATTAAAGACAATATTCTCAATGCTTGCTTAGGAGGATGTAGGATAATTCTAACTATGATCTACCTTCATTGCAAATTGCTTCAAGTGCTGTAATTATTTATAGTTTGCTTTAATTGTGTGGATTTTTAGCTCAGTGATCTTTGACTATACATTCACGTTTACTTCTTCATGTGGGAGGATATTTTGTGGATTTTTAGCTACTTTATGGTCCTGCATATGCTTTATTATTTTATTGTATCAAAGAAATGCTTCCTGATTGAGAATGCAGTTTATGTATTTATGTCCCCATGTCCTGTGTCAAATTGCAGATCCATTTGCTGGACACGTTTAAGCATCTTACGGTCAAAATATCCCTTTGGCCAAGCCCTGGACTAACCATATCAGAAATCATTTTGAGCATATTATATGAGATTTTCGTGGATTGAAGTTTAGAAGATTAATGTCCAGCATCATAATTTGCATATTTTTTTAGTATCAATGCGATTGAGAAAGCATTCTGGCATATAGTTTTTCCATGTTTAATGATAGATACAGTTAGATCAGAGGTGTATTGATTATGACGCATGTTTACTTAATTGTTTTAGGACCTTGACCTGGGAAGATGGATACTGTGGTTGCCAAAAAGAAAACGGGGCTGTGGAAAGCATCCCCAGCGGCATTAATTGTGAAGCCTCAGATTCTGTCTTTTTTACAAGTAATGAAAGTACTGGTGATTCTGGAGCTTATTCTGTTCAGCCACTCATGAATGAAATGTCTAATCTGAAGTACATTTTGGGAGAGGGGTAAAGCCTTATTTCTAACTCACAAATGCTTGTGGTTGCAAATTTTGTTCTTTATCTGGCAATTTACTCATGCAAAGAGACATGCATATTCAGAGATTGACCTCAGAAAATATGAAGACCATCTATCCTATTTGGTTGAAAATTGAGAAATATTGAACGAATGTTTTTAGGTTGAGACCCTGTGAGCATAAAATTGAAGGACGAATCCTCAGGGAAGTCTCTTTTCTCACTTTCATTGAGCCACCAAACCTGAAATTGTTGCAGTACACACTTTGAATTGGCCGTTCTGAGTGTTGCTTCTTTGCATAATATACAATGAAGTAGCTCCCATCTAGACTTGTAAATGGTATCAGTGAGCAATACTGGTTAATGTAGTAAATATGTACTATTCAAAAGTTTTGTTTGTACAAAGCACCTCCAAATTTGACCTTAGCCCTTATTATTCCGTCAGGATTGTTGGAGAAATAGCTCTTAAAGGGGTTCATTGTTGGGCTTTCTGTGAGGATGTCTTCACAAGTAATTTCAACGCTAACATAATATCTGAGGTGAGATTCTAATCACAAGATTTTACAAATCACTGGTACTTTAATCTTTTATTTTTCTGTATATTTTGTAGTTTGATATGGATACCTAATATATGCAGTATTTTACTCCTGCAGTGCCCTTATGAATGGCTTCTTCAATTTGCATCTGGCATAAAGGTAAAAATCTCTCAATATATTACTTAGTTGATGCCATGATGAAGAATGACGCTTTTGGTTCTGGTGATGAGCTACGAAGCATTGGGCATTTGTACTACTGATTGCCCTGGTCGACTCAGCTTCTGTATAATATGCATGCTTTGCAAAATGTTGTTAGCTTGCTGCAACTTAATAGGCCACTTTCAAGCAGGTTTAGAGTTCATCAACTTTTTCTTTTTTTGCAGACTATTGTGGTTGTACCAGTTCTTCCACATGGAGTTTTGCAATTTGGTTCATTTGAAGCGGTGAGTCTTTGTTTCATATTTGGGTCCTCCAACTAGACAAACTATATGTTTTACTATTACTGTGTGAGATCATGATAGATGAAAAATCTGAAAATTCTTTGGCACAAATTTGAGGGCCATTTTAATGTTAATTTGATATATTCCGTACCTTAATTCCCTTGTGTATTTCTCTCCCTCTATGAGTATGCATGTCTGCCTAGAGCCTGAATGACAGGGTGCTAATTTTACATGCGTTAGTGTGCTAGCTCGTGCCTTCATTTTTGTCCATAGTGAATGTGTCGCATTTTTCTTTTTCAGCCTACATTGATCTCTCTTTTCCTGTCAAGATTTTAGGTTGATGAAGACCTGGTATTTGTTGCCAATGTCAAGGAGATATTCAATTCGATGTGTTGTGGGGTGTCAAATACTACATTTTTGAGCTCAGATGTTGATATTCAAGCACCGTTATTCTCATCCTTGACAGATTGTCTTGTGGATAAGTTGGATGAAGCGTCTTCTATTTCAAACAATAAACTGGAAGACAAACTTTATGGTGGCACATCACTTGGTGTAGATGGATCGACAAGGTTATATTCAACAGGGCCATTATTTATTCACAAGGAGTGTCGCACGTTTGGGGAAGATCAATTGGATAATCCCAAGAAGGCTCGCAAAAGTGAGATCAGTTCCCCGTACACTGGAGTTTTGAAAGATCCGAGACACATAGGTCAGGTGGACATGAATTTGAGCCAAACGGAAGAAAAGTTATTGGCCTTTTCTCAGTGGGTCAACAATGCGGGATTATTTGATGAGATAACAAATGAAACGTGCTCTTACTCCAGCGAAGATATGACAGAACATTTTGAAGGCAATAATACTGATCATAAAAATGGTGATGATGTGCATGGTTTATCTGAAGTTTCCTTGCACTTTGATTTACATAGAGCACTTGGACACACTGCTAATGGACAGACAGCTGAGCCTCTGTGGAAATATTTTTCTGCTCATGCATGCAGTAGCTCACCTTTGATGTTAGATGGGAAAGGGCAAGATTATGTTAAAGATTTGCAGTTTCTCAACGAAGGTAATTCAGAATATCTTTTGGGTGCTGTTATGGGCAGTTTGGAGAGTGCCTTGGATGATTCTTCATTGAGCGAAGCCACTGATGTTAAGCCTCCTGTAACCTTGCCAAGAGAATGTACTGCTTCCATTCCTCCACGTAGTCATCCTGAAGAAAGCACTTGGATGGTGAATTATTCAGATCATGAAAATTGTGTCGCACCTGACTTTATGGCCAAGTGCACGGATGATTTCAGTAACCTTGTTACATCAAGATCTTTTGATGGCAATTCAAGCATATTGATTAATGAGACAGAGCAGGAGAAGGTTTACGGTCGTGTGCAGCCTAACAGTGGACCCAAGCTTTCTAGCACCAGCAAGAAAAGAGCCAGAGTCGGGAACACCAAAAGGCCAAGACCCAGGGATAGACAGTTGATTATGGACAGGATGAAGGAGCTGAGAGAACTTGTCCCAGATGGTGCCGGGGTAAGTTGATGTGTTCCAGTACCAAAGCTAAAAAGTTCGGAGTTCCTTTTGCACTTTATAACGTGGTTTTCTTTGGTCTTATGATTTACAGTGTAGCATTGACAACCTCTTAGAACGGACGGTAAAGCACATGCTGCACTTACGAAATATTACAAACCAGGCTGAGAAACTGAAACGATGCTTGCTTCAGGAGGTAATTATAAACAACATTTATTATGATGACAGCCCTGATCTTTAATCCACAAGAATGCTAGTGTCACATTGGACATCAATGCTATATTGCCAATAAAGATACTGAATCGTTACATCTTAGTATAGGTACCTAAGTGCGATAAACAGAAAACCAATGGCAGCCATTCAGGAAGGAGTTATGCATTTGACTTTGAAAGTGAACGCCAACTATGCCCCATGATCATCGAAGAACTTGGATGCTCAGGGAACATGCGCATAGAGGTATGCATATTTTCTCCTTGACCATTGGTCCAAGCCATGTCAGATTTCGTAGTTAACTAGTTATCGCTTGTCAACGAACTTTTCACTGTTAGGCTTATAAATAGATTTATTATAATCTCCAACACGCTATATCTCAAAAGCCCTTTGGGCTTTAGGTGTGAATAAGTTACGAACCCATTATATTTTTGTAATGAAGCTTGATATGAAACAGGAGAGTGAGGGCCACCAGGATCAAACCCGTTCCACTTGGTTATAGAAACCTAGATGCGGTGTCAGTGATAATTTTTATTAAAAAAACTTCCAACTATTATATAGAGGCCTCTGATATTTTGCTATAATCTCAAGCTCAAGAATTCATTTACCGAACTGTCATGTTTTGTCTGCAGATGATATGCAGTGAACATGGGTTTTTCTTGGAGATTGCCAATGTGCTCCGACGGATGGAGCTAACCATTTTGAAAGGTGACTTGGAAAGTCGTTCGGGCACCATGTGGGCTTGTTTCATTGTTGAGGTATAGAAATATTGCCTGATTTGATTAGTATGGCTTCTTTTTGGCGGGTGAAATCCCTAATTTGATAACTTTAACCATGGTTACAGCAGAATTCTGAGATATATCTTCTGTTGCATCCACAGGTTCCCAGAGGTTTTCAGAGAATGGATATTATGTGCCCTCTGTTGCATATTTTGCAGCAAATGAAGAAAAGTTTCAAGTAGAATTTTGACATTTCCATCTATCAAATCAGTAAAGGCGTATGACCTATATCTTGTAGCATTTTTTTGGTTTTGTGTGTGTGTGATGTAGAAGACAACAGTTAATTTCAAGCCTCTACCTAATGATGAGCCAGCTGCTGAAAATGGTGACTAACCAGCGGGTAAAAAGAAGGTTCATTGACTTCAGGGCGCTTTTGGGTTCTGGCTTTTGAGGTCGACCAAATGAAAACGTGCACATTTAGAGTTGATGACTTGTGGGAAGAGAATTCTCTTGTAGAGAATCACTGCCATTCTACATGCGGATTCAGATTAGGGACGGGTGTGCTGCTCCTTTATGAAATTAAGAACTTTTATTTGTAATGGAGGAAAAGGCTGTGGTCTTTTATGTATTTAGCGTCAACTATGCAAAATATTTTTTTTAATATAAAATCTGGGATCGAATTTCTTTGTGTTATAAATGTATTAAAACTTAATGCTGCAGTTTGTTAATTATAATTAGATATTAAATAATGGTAAGCATAATCTGGAGTCTTGACTGTAGCTCTGATGGAATTAAAATTGAAAAAAAAAAAAAAACGCGTGTTCAAGGTTCAAAACTCCAAATTTCTTGATCAAGAATTTACTTAACCACCTTTACTTTCGCAGCCAATGCTCTGGGTTGATTTACTAGCCTTTCAGCAACTATTTCAACTATGTACAAGAACATGCAGCAGTGATAGTTCCCAATGGATTCGTATGATTCGAAGCTATCTATTTAATTAATATTTTACCCCAAAAAAAAAAAAAAGAGTTAGTGTGAAAAAGGAAGAAATGAATACTCCCCACATACGCATTCTCTGTGCTTTATTTTTTAAAAAGAGAATCGATTAAAAAAATCCTCTAATTTGAAAAGATTTAAGTTATTCTTATTGGCAACAGCTCTTATTCTTTATTCATTCTATCACTCTAGCCAGGCCAAAAATGGTTACTTTGAATATATTATTACTATTTGCACATGATATCACCTGATAAAATCATCAAATTTTAAAATTTTCTTAACGTTATATTTTTATCAAAAAATCTAATAGCAAGGGCTTGAAAACAAATCTAGTTATTTTTTTTCGTTCTCGCTTTGTAAATTTTTACATAGTATAAGTTTCTTTTTTTTTTTAGTATATGTATTCTTTTATTTGAAACAAGTCCATTCGAAGACTATAGGGTACTAAATGTGACAATCTTTTTAGAGGGAATTTGAATATTAATTTATTATGTTTTGAGAGATTAGCTCTTTCTGTTAGAGTAAACTTACAAGTTTCATTTGTTTTCCTGTTATGCATAGGTATTATTCTATTAGAGACAATCTCATTTTAGGTACTGTTAGATACTGAATGTGAACACCTCTTTTAGCAGACTCAGCCTTGGCAGAAGTTTCATTTTATATTGAAGTCAACATGCTAACTGTTTTTTTTTGGGTCAAACAATATGCTAACTTGTAATTTACTTTTACATCAAATGGGCCAACGACTGCGATGCCCACGTCAGGCCAGATTCTGGGCCTCCAATTACGTCTGTAGAGTTCAATTTTAGAGTTTCCGCATATAATTGTTAAATTGATTGATAATACCCCATTTCAAAAATTAAATATGCATTAAGCAAAACCGATATCAGTTGAAAAGCAACCTTTCCTTCTAGCATGAAGCTTAAATAAATACCAAGAAAAGGAAAAAGAAAAACTTCACGCAAACTTATCTTGCAATTAAATTTGTTGAGTCAAAGCTTTCGATCTTTGGAGGTGAGGTCATTTAAAAATGGAGATGCTATTATTCCGTTTTGATTATGTTAAACGACATAATATGGTGTCTCTAGATTTAAGAGAAACTATGAGTCCCAACTGACGCAAATTACTATTAATTTTATATATATTTGATTCTTGACATGATTTGATCCATCTGTGTGTTGAACTTTAAGCCCCAAGAAAAAAAAAATTCCTCCGGTTCTAAATATAAGATTTTTTTTATATGTAAATTACACTACAAAAGGGGTTTTATATTTAGAACCTGAGGAGTAGAGTCCACTATTATTTTAAGATCACTAGGACACTGGTACGATCGAAACTTTTCCCTCCTCTCTCTTTCAAATTCTTGATTAGATCTGCTATCATCTATCATATTCAATTTTCAATATCTTTCATCTCTAAGAAATTATTTTTTGACCGAAAATTTCTAAGAAATTCTTGTCTCGTAGCATCTAAAACATTTCCCCGTCGTTCTAATACTCATAATAATAAACAAAATTTGCGATAGGATTTCATTTTACTTTTCTTTACATACAGAACATAGTTTTAGGTCCAATAATGATAATAATTCTATTGCAGCTACATGACTTAAGCTAGCAAACTGTCCCAAAAGTCTAAAAAAGAAGAACTAATTTATTGTATATAAGTGTCCAACGGGCAACGTATTTGTAATTGTTGGGATATAAAATGTGAATGGGGCTATCAAAGGTCTTGTACATAGTCCCCAGCAAGTGGAAAGTCGTGAGTTCTATCGCCTCATAATCTCAAATTATTAGTACCTGCTCCTTTAATTAAAAAAATATGAACGGAATGAACTTAACATAAGCAAAAGTCTCACATTAGATAAAATTGGGCTATAAAGAGGTATATAAGTTGAAAAAAAAAAGTTCATATACTCAATGACTTAAGGTTTTATGTTAAGATTAAAAATAAATTTAAAATATTATAAAAATTAAAGTTCTTACAGATAATTAATTTAATTAAGAAAGCAGTTAATATAAACATATAAAGAAGATGAGATATAGTAATTATATTGATCGGGTCAAAGTGCCTTAAAACTTGTGACGTGATCTTATAACTCAATTTTTATACCATTCACACGTTTTTTTTTTTTTTTCATTTCTAACCTTTTCCCCCTCAACTGAACTTAATTAGGTCGGGTCAGTCTTTGTAGGCAATGATGTATGTGTCTTAACTGTTGTTCGTCCCTGTTGCCTAGGAGCGTGTTTTAATAATAATCTTATTACTAAAGAATAAGCTTATTAATTATGTGCCTGTTTGGGAAAGCTTCTAATGAGTCATAAATAGCTTATTTTGAGGAGAAGCTCGACTCAAAAATTTATGCTTGTTTGGCACAACTTGTGGGCTACCGTGCTTGAGGGTCAAAATGAGTGGAAATGCACGAATGAAAATAAGATGAGGGTGGAAGCTTTTTTGATGAAATAGCATATGGACCATGACGCTCAGAAAAAGGCTGCTAGTGCCCGCATGGAGGCTTAATTCTGCTGTTCTTGCTGTTTTTTTCGTCATGATATCTTCTATTTTCTTATCTTAAATCGTAGTTTAAGACTGCGGGTGGCATTTTTCATTTCTAATTTAAGTAATTTTAATTTAATTGGCTTTTATCATAATTTTTTTAATTTTTATTTGTCAGATTTATTTATGAATGTGAATTATGCATGTTTCACTTTATATTTACAATAATTTTTTTATGATTTCTCTAATGTTTTAAAATTTAATTCAGTCATTAACTTTTTCTTTTTCATATTAAATTAATTTAAATTTATTGTATTATATAAATTTATTTTTTTATTATGTTTTATTATTTATTAAAACACATACCTATTTTGGTAATTTTACAAACAAACTTATTTTTATTTAATTATAATCCAAATAACCTTTTACTCAGTCTAACTTTTACAAACTAACTTTTTAAACTTCAATTCAAACACAATTCACCTTACCCAATTTAACTTTTACCCAATCTTATTTTTTTAAAAGTCAGATTAGAAATAAGCTACCTTTTCTATCGCTAATCCAAATGAATCCTATATGATATTCCGATCTTTAATATAAAATCTAATGGTACTTAATTACGCAAGTGAATGACAGTTTGGTAACCAATGTCTAGAATGACATGCTGTGCATCAAAGCACCAAACTGAACCTGTTTGGGGTAAAATTAAATTAAAATGGATGCAACAGTCCTAGATTTAATTAATACTTTGTGATTTAAAGTCTCATTTAGTACAATTTTATTTTATTGCTACTCAGTGAACTACATACACTTCTAATTTTCGTAAACAAGCGTACTTGGGACTCAAAACATTCAACAACACTATAGTTGTTTTTCAGTGGGATGAAAAAAAATTAAAAAAAAAAAAGAAAGACACACTCCCTGCTATCCTTAATATAAGGCGTATACTACTTTTTAGATTAAATATAAAACACATTTAGAAAAAATAATAGCATTAAATATTTTGAAAAACACCTTTATGAATGCAGATGTGATATTAAAAAAAATAAAACTATTTAAGATAAAGGAATATTGAAAAGTAGTGATAATTTTTTCTTATAATTTTAATGATATAAATAACTTATAGTTAAGTGTTTTTTTTTTTTTGGCATTCCTAGAGCTCGAACTCGTGAGACCTTTCATTATGCTGGTACAACCCTTTACTAGTTAAACCAAGTGCTTGATAGTACTAAGGGAATCACTTGCAATAAAACATTATGAGGTTTTTGTCAAATAATTTCACTCATAATATTGCAGGGTGGCGGAATTATTCATATGTCAAATAATGGTAATTTGGATTTATCGTAGTATCTCAATCAGATCTTATCTTTAACTCAGCAATTGATTTCATATGATTTGATCGTACGTGTCTGTGGGGGAAACAGATATTAATTAAAACTAATATTCAAAGTGTGTGTGTCTGAAGTTGAAGGGAAATTTTAATTATTATGAAGGAATTCGCATTGCGTATGAACTAAGATTTGAAACAGTGAAGAATTCTCTTCGATCTCATTTCCTTGCAATTGCCGTGGCTGGTAGAAATTGATGAGTCGTTACTGCAAAATTTAATTAATTCAATGAATCTATATCACCCTAACATATACTTCCAAACAACAAGTGGTCCTCTCTCTAATCTTGTTTAATTTATCATTGTTGCTGTTATAAATTCTCGATCGTATTTTAAATTATAAATAGATGATTGATTGTGTCCTATGTTACATATCTAAACAAATTCTCCATCGTTGATGATTGGTCAAATATGGTTTGATACCCAGTCATACTGTTGCATTTAAATATTGTGTCTGCTCTTTACTACTCATTCTATCATGATTATTCCGGATGTGGTTCTTTTCTATATTTTAAAAATATATATACACATATTTTTTTGAATAAAAAATTTACTTATACTCTAGTTCAATTCAATTTCGTTATTCTAATATCCTTAAACTGAATATACACTTTCCAAGACTATATATTAAAAAAAATAAATAGAATGTATTTTAGTAAAAAAAAAAAAAAGTAATCAAATTATAACATGATAACAAGTTGCCATGTGCAAGCATTTGTTTTTAATCTTGTCTCTTTTTTCAGTCAAATTTCTGGAGTTTAAATATAAGTTCCCTCTCCACAAAAGAAATTAATATTTAGATTGTTATTAAGACGTCTAAACATGAATGATTTGAGTTAATGTGACAAGTCTTGTATTGGATAAAATTATGCTTAATAA